TTAAAACAATTAAACTTTTGGTCTGCTGGTACAGAGTTAAGGGCATCAGAATTTATGTTAGTGAAGATAATAAGCGGTGAAGATGAAGGTTAGTGGAAATATTCTACCACAGTAAAAATGTCCTTTAATCCAAACAAAAATCTGGTTTAAAAGAGGAAAGGCAGTGGATCCCATAGAGGGATCCCTGGAAATGGCAGCCATTGTCTGTTTAGATCATCCATCCATTTTCCGAAACACTTATCCCAAGTGGGATCGCGAGGGGTGCTGGTGCCTATCTCCAGCTCTCTACGGGGGAGAGGCGAGGTACACCCTGGACAGGTCGCCAGGAGAATATAGAGAAGCCAATCAACCAAACAGTCATGTTTTTGGATTGAAGAAGGAAAAAGGAGTACCCGGAGAGAACCTACGCTTGCTCAGGGAGAACATGAAAACTCCATACAGAAAGATCCCGAGCCGGGAATCAAACCCAGAACCTTCTTGCTGCAAGGCAGTCGTGCTACCCACCGCCCATTCTCAATAAACCCTGATTATTCATCATGTCTTGTACTTAGTATTTCTTTTTTAGAACACATGCTGAATAATATTCCTTAAAGAAACAGAAACATAAATAACTTACTGTACCTGGTCAGGTGCAACTTCTATACAGAGACAGTCTGGCTGGAAAAGAGCCTGATATCTGCAGGTTCTGCTTCCTATTCTGCTTTTCACACTCTAGGAAGAGCATCTTAGCCTCAGTCTGGGAGTCAGGTGATCTGTTAGGAACAACTCAAAATAACAAATCTCTGATATACAATTGATAGAGATTTACTATAGACTGATACTGATTTGATACCTTGTGCAAGATGACATCAATTCCAGATAGTAAAGAGTGACAAAAGTTTCTCTATATTTGACACCCAGTGCAATATCTATATATATATATATAAATATCCATGTAAACACCCTGTGCAATAATCCTGTATAGTAATCCTACTATAAAAAAAGGGAAAAAAAGCTGTCATATTTGGACGCACTGTATATACTTTATACAGTATATCCCATGCACCTTCTTCTTTGACTATCTGAGCTCATGTAACAAGTCAGTTTCTCCACTGTGAGATCAGTAAGGAGAGAAATCGTGCCCTGTAGAAGTCTGAAAGCAGAAACCATCCATCTAAACACGATCATTTTCTGCAGTTATTCCTCAGTGCAAACGTGGGGTGGTGGTATTATCATGATGTGGGGATACTTTAGTTTAGCACCAACAGGAGAGTTTTGGAGAGAAAGACTTCAGAAGAGGGCAGAGATTAACCTTTCAGCAGCATAAGGAGCATAAGAATAGAGCTGGAGTTCCAAAAAAATTAAAAGCAATCTTCTGGACTTTGTTTCAGTGCTTCCCATCCAGGAAGCTTTTTTAATTCAAAATGTCAGAAATAGTGTTAAGTTCCAGGCTCTTATACAGTAGCTCAAAAAAGCCTTTAGAAAACATGCAAATAGAAAACGGACGAACGGGTCCACCCCTTTGGAATGGGGAGTCGTTTGGCTTGTTGGCCTGTCTGAATAGGGGACGTCAACCTTCGTCTACTCAGCCAGGCCAACAATTCCCTTTCACAATCCTCCTTTCAGAGACATAGACAGGTATGGGGCATTGCAGGCTAACAAAGAAGCGAAAGGAGCCCC